GCGCCGGAGCTCGCCTCGTGACGGAGCCCGGCCGCCTGGGCGCGTCCTGACGCCGGGCGGGGTGACGGGGCTGCAGGTCGCGTCTGCCTAACGCTTGCCCGGAATGCGGAGGCGCAGTGATCGCGCCTCGCCGTATGGGATGGTTCCAGTCTCGGGCACGTTGGGATCATGTGTAAGGAGCGCCCCGCTGTGCCCGGGCTGGCGCGCGGGGTGAGTCACCGATTCGCCCCGGCGCTGGGCTCCCCGCCCCCGTGATCGCAGTGTGTTTACCGGATTCTCGATGAGGTGCTATGTTTGTGAAAAAGTGTGTAACTCAAGAACACTACTGCTGTTAAGTGCCAGGTTCCACTGTGTAGTGAGACTTCCAGGGTCGTTTTCGTGTGGGGGGTCGTTTTCTGATTTTCATTGTCGGCAGTTCCTAAATCTTAGCATGCACCATCCATATTCAATGCCAGAAGTCCGTGTGAACTTTATTTCAAGTTGGAGCAATTGTCCGTGATGGAAGGTGACGCAAAAAATAATAATTAGGGCAGAGCTTTGAGTACCCAAAAGGAAAACTCGCCCAGTTGCTAATTTGCCTTATTTAAGAGTCACCGTATTTTTTTCAATGTTAATCAAGATAATTAAATGTGGCCATCTTATCACACTTAGGGATGTATAATTGTGCATTTTTGGTTCAAGGCTTCTGCTGTTAAAAATGTTATTTTGAATTGTAAGATCAAAGAATTTTTTTGTACATGTTTTCTTTAATTGGACTGAATTTCAGGTTTCAGAAAATAGGGTAAGTGTAAATTTAAACGATTAAACATTTATTGCTGAATAATGTATATATTTCCATTCCAAGAAATGTGAGTGAAGTTGATATAAATTCTTTAAAGTTTACTATATTGCCAGGGGTTTCACAAAAAAAATTCTCTTGTATTTATTTATCGGCTTAATCAAATAAAAATTATTTTAAAAATATGGTGATTTGAGTAGTTACTGTTTGAAATGGACTCGTGTGTGTTCATCCTTTTGCTTCCTATAATTAAAAAGAGAAGAATTTAATATTTATAAAGACTGTTATCTCACCAATAAGGAAAATGTTATACCACAGTAGTTTCAAAATCACTGATTGTAATGATGTAGTGTTTTTCTGTATTACAATTGTGTGAAACTTGTATTTACTGAGAATAAAAAACTTAAAAAAAAAAGAAGGCAAGAGCCGTTATATGGTAAAATTCTACACCATGGTGACTATAGATTACATCATACTAAAAGTAAAATCCTGGTTATTTCCTTCACAGACAGGAGGTGGAACTTGGTGTTACCCGTGGAGTTGAGTCTGCCCCAGAACTTTGTAAAACTGAGTGGATTATTCCCACATGCCCAGGGTTTTTCCTTATACTTCCATCATTAAGTTTGTAGCTAGAAGAAGAATCACAATGCATTTACATACTTTTTATGATTGATGAGAAACAAAACCAGAATTCTTCTCATGACAAAAAGTTTTTCAGTTTGTTTTGCACTTAATTTCAGAGTACCATGTATCATAGCAATTGGATAAATAGATCGTCCTCATTTCCCGGATGAGATCACTGACACACCACATAGGATAAGCAGCTTAACCAGCTCCAGGACCAGCAGTTTGCACTCCTGTCTTCCTGTTTGAAAAGCCTGTGCTTTTGTTCCTGGCTCTTTCCTCCAGGCTCCTGTCTGGCCGTTACCCCAGGTCAGCCACAATTACCCAACCCCACCACAGTCCTGCTGAACTTGTATCTCCGGGGGTTGAGACTCAGATTTTGAAAGAAGTACCACCGGTGATTGTAAGATACATAGAAGGCATCCAGAACATCGTGTTTTCTTAAATGGGTATACCTTTATCATTTGTGTGTAACTCAGGATTGCCAGTGTTTTTTCATAAATATATTAAACTTGTTTCACATTTAAATATTTATTAATCTAACCATCTTTAGATTGATTAACATAATATTCACTCATTGGAAATGAGTTGCTATTCATGATACAATGAAGCTCTTACTGGCTTAATTATTTTTATGTCGATATAAGTACTATCACAGATTCATGGAGAAGTTCTCCATTTAGTGGAAATTGCAGTAGATCATCTACAAAGACAGTTCTTAGAAGCTCTCATACAAATATGCGCGTGCACCCTGTTAGCAAACAGTTCACAGAGCGCGGTGGTTCACAAATTAAGCAGAGATGGTGGTCTCTACAGATGTCACGACCAGTCGGGAGATTTAGAGTGGGTTTCAGAGTCCCTGGAGAACTTACCATTGCTGTGTAAGGAACAAGTGCTGGGCATGTGCTTTAGAGCACAGTGTTAAACAGTAAGAATGCATAGAAATTTGAAAGCTACGGAGGCCTTGCCCCATCCCAGACCGATTGGATCAGAATCTCTGGGGGATGGTTCTCCATGTTTTGTGTAATAGAGGCTTGGTGCACTGCACCAGTTAAGAGTAGTAAGACAAGGTCGTAGGATTCTCCCCCAGAATAAATTCAAGTGAGGGTACGTGTGTTTAGATGAGCAGTGTCCTGGGCAGAGGACACATGGCCTCTCTGCCCTGAGTTGTGGGGTCCAACTGTGATTCAGTTACCTGAATTTATAGCAAGGTCAAGTAAGATCAGTAAGTGGAGAACGACTTCCGGTGAAATCCCCTGCAGTTCTCTAGCCTCTGCGTGCTTTTAAAGTTTTATAACTATGCTTTTGAAGCTACACCGTGATAAAGGTGTGTGATTTCTCAGAAACGATGGTGGGCTCTACCTTCTGCTTCCTCCCAGTAGTGTGTGAGCAGATCATATTGGTAGAAGAGCAGAACCCCCAGGTGAGGAAGCAGGTTGGGGCGGGAGAGGGTCACCTCCCCTGACAAGCCCCCGACAGCTCACGGGCGGCCATTCAGCCCGGGTTAGGGCTCACTTAAACAGCCCGCCGGCGAGCCCACTGACAAAAGGAAGTAAAAACCAGTAAACCAGCCCATCCTGTTTCTATGTCAGAATAAAAGAAAACTTGGCGAGAAAACAAAATCTAACTTGCACAGCCACTGCCAAATGGGGCAGTTTCTTCCGATCTCTTTGTTTCTAGCAGTTGTCTATCCAGGGCTGGTGTGCTTTTGACACGAGGTTGGCAGGCTTTGGGGATGGCCAGGCGGAGGAGCTGCTCTCCCACAGATTTGGATGACATCTCTCGGTACCCCTGGAGTCCACAGGCTTTGACTGTCAGACCCTTGGGGATAATTTGTGGTTTTCAGGCAGGATAAGTAATGCAGTTATCCCTTATTTTATAACCTTTTGCTAGCTCAGCTTTGCAAAAATCCACCTGCCTCTGGAGATACATTCACAGTCTTGTCAGACAACAGTGTGAGAGTCGTAAGTATTGCAATGAATTTCCTGTGGTCGTTAAAACCTTTAAGAATGAACAAAAGGTGTAGTTCTCTTATATAGTTTTCAGGAAGAATAAATACGTTTAATTTTATGTTGATGGCAACATTTTTTCCCCTTGCTGTGGGACTTTCACCAATGACTAATCCAAACAGATCAGATAGTAGAAATTTCTAAACCATAAAATAGGTGGCTTATCGTCCATTCCCACCAATTCGAGGACTAAAGTGATAACTTCTCTGAAACGAAGATAAGGTCCAAGTAATAGGTGTGTATATGTATATGTGATGTGCTCGGACATACTAATAGTTTTGCACTTACATGTAAATGTGTCAGCACAGTTTCAAAACTGGAAGGCGCATCAGTAATTTTCTTTTCTCTTTTTAAATTCCATGAAGGCTAATTAAGTACAGCAAGTAGCACAGTAGTTTCTGTTTGAAATGTGCTAAGTTGAGGGTGTCATGTTTTCTGCTATTTAGTGAACTGACAGGCTTTTATGAAAATGCTCATTGGAGTTTCAAAATTGTAAAATGTGTGAAAACCACTGGTTCAGGTTTTCTCTTTAAAATGTATAAATTAGTGGTTTACTCCTGAGATTTCTCAGCAATCCATAATTGCAAGAACTGAAACATTTATGGAGAAGTTACGTGGTGCTGTGTCAGAAGGCTGGGTATTTATCTCTAATAATGTCATTAAAGTGGAACTTCAGCTGAGTGCATATCCGCGGGGCGGTGTTTGTTTTTCTCCGCTTCACCCTGGCCTGGAGTTGGGACTTCCATCTCGCAGCTGTGACCATGACAGCCGCTGTTCCTTACAGGGTTACATCAGCAGTTGGAAAGGTTCAGCAGCGTCCTCTCTCGGTAGATTCACTTGATTTTGAAAGTGGTAACTTCTCATTGTAACAACTGTGGGCCATCTTGAAATCACCACTGATTATTCATTAACCGATGCCTCACTGCCAGAGACAAGTGAGAATTACACGCTTCATCTTCCACAAAATAAAAGCAAAGCCAGTGTTTGCATATGAATATCATCCCTCCTTTAAGACAGCCAGAAACATAACACTTGCTAGATCTCTTCTAGAGAGGAACAGTTTTAAAAACCACACTCATCTCTGAAGTGTTACGGACTATCAAACATTGGCCTTTCAGCATTAGTGATGTATCAGTGATGGTAACCCTGCGGTGCAGGGCCGTGCCTCGGGCTTGCAGCGGGCATTGTTACAGGTGGGTGTCGGTGAATGTCGTGTGTTCTTTGGTCACTGAGCTGAAGCCCTTGATCACGTTCATCAGGTCCTCTTCATCCACATACTGAAAAACAAGCCAGGTATTATTGGTTACAATCTTTGCTGTCAGTCAGTCAGTATGAATTTACTATAAAAAGTACTCAGTGCATGTTTACTGAGGACTTGCTACCCAGGGCTCAGTGCTAAGATGTAGTTTGAGATAGCCTTTTCTTTAAATTCATTGAGAGGATTACATCACATGTAGGCATGAACTAATCCAAACTGTATGTGATAAGAATCATTCTTCTCATCTATAAAGTATGGAGACTAGATGTATAATTAAAAAATAATAGTTCAGAGATGTTATGGTTTTGGGGGATATTTTGCAAGGGAGAACAATATAATACAGGACACATATTTTATAAGATTATAATAGTCACCCAAAGAATGATATACAAAAGAGTGCATGAAATCTGTCCCCACACTGAGTCCAAGGAAACTAGCCGAGGGCCTGGATCCTACAGAAATGTCCTGCATGAGTCCAGCTGAAGACCTAGAGCTCATAACAGTGCCTCCCACAAGTCCAACTGGAGGCCTAGAGCCCATAACAATATCTCATGCAAGCCTGTTTCACGGATCTGCACTGGGAAGGCCCAAAGGTCAGTGGTGGAATGTAGGAAGTCTGTGCCCATAGGATGAAAGATCTGTGCTGGCAGGCTGAGGGAACACATTGGAGCCAGGAAGTAACGCTCCAAGTAAGAACCAGAAGCTCCCCCGAAAGGTACCACAGCCATCCTCAGCAACAGTGAGGTCCCGAGCTCCTCCAGTGGTGAAGACAGCTGAGTTCCCATCAGGAAAGCCAATGCAGCAAGCTGCTTCAAGAGACTGAGCTGTGCACCTTCTTCCCCTCCAGAGCAGGAAGCGATGGGGACCAGAGCTCCCCCAAAGTGAACCAAAGCTATTCTCAGGTCCAACAAGGCCCTGAGCTCCTTGAAGGATGAAAACAGCCAAGTTCATCAGGAAAGCCAGCATGATGACCTTCTCCAAAGCAACCAACAACTCCTTACAGCTTCTACCAGCTCCCAACAGGCTTTCAGCTCCCAACAGCCTCTCCTCTCCAGGTCTGCCTCTCATGCTGCTGGCAGCAGCCCCCAGGTGGGCCTCCCACACCCAGCACCATGCTTCCTCAGTTCAGCTGGGGGTGATAAGTTGCCCACCAGTTGTCAATACACTATAAGAGAGTAAGCAGAAGAGCTAAATACAAGCTGTTGTGCTCTGTTGGTTCCTACTCATACTGTATTTTGTATTATGGGGTAGGATCAGTAATGTTGATATTACTTTATAAGGAACACATCTTTGTCATGCATTGGCACCCTCAGAACTCTTCTCTGAATCCCTCTGCACTCTGCCTATTACTCGTACTGTAAAGACCAAGCGAAAATGGCATGATAGTACCATTAATACAGAGGGAAGCTCTGTAGTCAGATGTGATTTCTACCTCACACGAAGATTGCTTACTAGCTATAAGTTCTTGGGTAAGTCCCTAATCTCCCTGAGCTCTAGCTCCTTCTATAAGGATGAGAATAATAGCAGTGAGTGACCTTCTAGAGTTTATGAAGATTAAGAATTAACTCAGCCAAGCCTGCAGTGTATTAGGTTGAGTATGTCAAAACTGCCATCTTGCATGTTAAACATAATCCATTAGTAATTATTCATGTCAACTTAATATAATTATCCCTGCCATTTAAAAACTTGAAATGTGAAATGGAATAATGGAATTGAATGGCTGTAACAAAAAGCAGGATCAACTCTTCAGTGCAAAACAGTGAGAACTTGGGAGAGAGAGGTGAGGAACCCAAGCACAGATTCGGAGTTGAGAGAAATGGACATGAGTAATTCTGCCACTGAAGAGCGAAAGCGGAGCCAGTTTTTCGTTGGCTTTATCATCTAACTGCACCCATGGAACGACAGTCTGGCAGACATCCGGGTGGTCCCAGAATGAAACGTGACACTAGGATCGTAGTCGTCACAGCCCATGTGGGCCCCTCAGGATTACTCGGTAATGGGAGGCTGCCTTTCAAAGAGCCAGTGATTCGCACCACTGGACTGACTTCACGAGAGGAGCCGTGAGCCGTGAGGTCACGAGGCCAGCAGAAGGTGGGAAAGAGGGAACAGCAACCCTGCCTACACCTTGATTCCAGCCAGTGAAACACATTTCAAACTGCTACCTTTCAGAATGGTGAAATAATCCATTCGTGCCATTTTAGCCAGATTTTTGTGGTAGTTTGTTGCAGCACCTATAGGAAACTGAGTACTTTGTTCATTTGGTGCTGTAAGTTGAACCCAGGGCCTTCAAATGGTAAGCCAGTGCTTTACCACTGAGCCCCGCTTTTATTTTATTTTTTTTTATTTATATATATTTTTTGTACCAGAAATCAAACTGAGGACCTCACACGTGCCAGGCAGGCGCTGTGCTGCTGAGCTATATTCCCGGCACATGCTTGCTTGCTTCTCTTCCTTCCTCCCTTCCTTCCTTCTTTCCTCCTTTCCTTCTTTCTTTACTTTCTTTTTCTTTCTCTCTCTCTCTCTCTTTCTCTTTCTTTTCTTTCTTTCTTGTCTTTGTGAGACAGGGTTTCACTATGCAGTTCAGGCTGGCCTTGAGCTCACAGCAGTCCTCCTGCCCCATGAGTCCCACTTTTAAATACTAAACAGAAGATTCTGCTGATGGCAGATTTGCACTAAAAATGCCAGTTATCATCCGAGGGTTTACTCACACTCTCAGTGGAGAAAATTAGATAACCCCCAAATTTGAGTCAAGCTGGTGTGTAGATAAAACCATACTCTCCTGGCATCGACAGTATTTACTGAACAGTACTGGGTTAATCATTAACCTTAAAATACAAGATTGAAGAGTGACAACCAATTAAACATTAGCCAGGTAGTGAGAAGATTTTGTTAAAGTTCAATATATTTCACGACTCCAAATCTGGTCTTCATTTCATTTTTGCTGAGAAAGATGGCAGGTGTTTGTTTCCTGCTATTTTAAATAGTGTTGATCTTATTTTAGCCTGTAAGGCATACAATTGTCCTAGCATACTAATGGTTTTGTAGAATAATATATTTAACATACTTCTCATAGGAAGTTGAGTTCAGTTACCTGCACTGTGATAGGCCCTTCAGCACCCACTACCTCTTCACTATAAATCTACCAGCATATAGTTAGCACAAACTCATCTTGTCTTTATATTTTATTAGAGATTCTAAGAAAATTATACAAAATTTTGTGATTCAAATGAAACCATTTTTGAAACATAAGAAAATGAAACTCTTTCACAGTGACACCCTTATTTATCCTGATATTCTGAGACTTTTTAGTTGGAGAGGAACCATTTTCATTTGTTGAGAGAAAAGACTTTCCTCCTCTGATAACAAACTCATGTAGAAAAGATGATGTTACTGCAAAAGATAGGATTTCATACTTTATGGTGAATAATGCTCCATTGTGTATATATACCACGGTTTATTTATCCGTTTGTCAATTGGCAGGCATTCTGGCTGATTCTATATCTTAGCTCTTCTGAATAGCGCTCCGATATACATGAATATCCGAGTGTCTCTTTTGCATGCCAACTTTATCACCAAGAAACGGGGTAGCTGGACCACACAATGGTTATAATTTTAGTTATTTTCTGCTTTCGTTTTTTAGGAAATTCCATATTGTTTCCCATAGAGACTGCACTGACTGATATTTCCATCAACACTGTATAAGCGTTCCTTTTCTTCCAGTCCTTATCAGCATCTGTTGTTTTTACACAACAGCCATTCTAACTAGGTTAGATGTATTTCATTGTGTTTTGATTTGCATTTCCCTTATGGGTAATGATATTAAATATTTTGTGTGTTTGTTAGCCATTAGTATTTCTCCCAGATGTCTTCAGATCATTTGCCCATTTTTAATTGGATTCCTTAATTTTTATCTTCATTTCCTTATAATCAGAAAAGATAAATGATATGACCAATTTTTGGAATTAGTTAAAACTTCTTTTGTGACCTACTATGTGGTCTATTTTAGAGAAAGTTCCATGCACTCATGAAAAGATTGTGTATTGTTAAGCTGTTTTATGACATATTCAGCAAACATCCATTAAGTCCATTTGGCCTGCAGTATAGTTTAATTCTGATGTTTATTTGTTGATATTTCATCTGGTTGATCTACCCATTGGTGAGAATGGAGTATTGAAATCTGCAACTGTTTTTATATTGGAGACTGTCTCTTTCCTTAGTCTAATGCTGTTTGTTTTCTAAAATGGGTGTTCCATTGCTAGATGTATATAGATCTTTAATCAGTATTTTATTGATGAATTGATCCCTTGATCAGTGTATAGTAACTTTTCTGTCTGTTCTTCTCTTTTTTTAAAATCTGTGTTATGGTTTGTATCTTGATGTCCCTTCAAAGCCTCATGTACTTAGAGGTGGGGCTTTTGGGAAGTGGCTGGCTCATGGGCATGTGATGCTGGATTAAAGGTGTGACAACTGGATCAGTCCACTGATTGGATTATAATAGTTCTAGGTGGGGCTAAATGGATTTCTTGAGAACAGAAGACTCACCCTAGGTGTGGGTAGCACCAACCAATAGGCTTGTAGCCTAGATGGAATATAAAGGAAAAGGGAGTCTTGCTGCTGCCTGCTTCCTGCCTGCCCTGCCATGGACTGTTTCTCCTCTGCCATGCCACCCTGCCTTGGAGCCAGCTGACTATGGACTGAACCCTCTACAAACTAAAAGCTAAAGTAAAACTTTCTTGCTTCAACTTTGGGTGTCAGAGTATTCTGTCCCAGAAACAAAGAAGTAACTGAGACAGTCTGTTTTGCTAGATATAAGTATAGATATTCCTACTTGCTTTAGAATTCCATGTGATTAAAAAAAAAAAAAAAAAGAATTCCATGTGTTTAAAATACCTTTTTTTTTTTTTCTTTTCTTTTCTTTTTTTTTTTTTTTTGGTACAGGGAATCAAACTCAGGTCTTTGCACTTGCAAGGCAGGCACTGTGCCACTGAGCTATATCCCTGGCCCAAAATACCATTTTCTATCCTTTCATCTTTAGTCTCTCTGTCCTTTATTGGTGAGTTGAATCTTTGGTGGCAGCCCATTGTTTGGTTTTGCTTTTAAATCATTCACTCAGTATCTTTTAACTGAAGAATTAAAACCATTTGTGTTCAGAGTCATTAATGGAAGGTATAGACTTTTCCTGATTTTTATTGATTTTCTTCTGGTTGCTTTGAATATTATTTACTCGATTCTTACACTTTTATCATCTTTGTGGTTTGATAATGCTTGATTCTCTTTCTCATTTGTGTCTACTCTTCTAGTGGGATTTGTATTTCTACATGTTGTCATGATAGTAGTTATCTTTCTTTCACTTCTGGATGTAGGACTGCCTTATGTATCTTTTGTAATGCTATTCTCATGGTAGTGAATTCCCTTTGTTTTTGTTATCTTAGGAGTTATTTATTTCTCAAGATTACTATTTGCTGAGGATAGTAATCTTGGTTGGCAGTTATTTTTGCTTGGGTCATTCTTGTATGCATCATTCTGTGCCCTCCTGTCCTACAGGGTTTCTGCTATTAGTCTAATGGGCTTGTCCTGAAATGTGACTTTGTAGTTTTCTCTTGGAGATTTTAAAATTCTTTCTTCGTCTTGTACTTTTGATACTTTGATGATAATAATACGTCATGGTGAGGTTCTTTCCTGTTCATTTCTATTTGAGATTTTTTGTTTTTGTTTTTGTTTTTTTTTTGGTTTTTTCTCTGGTACCGGGAACCGAACTCACGACCTTGTGCTTGCCAGGCAAGCGCTTTGCCACTGAGCTAAATCTCCGGCCCTCTATTTGAGATTTTTGTAGGATTCTTGTACCTGATGTCCATATCTTTCCCAAGAGTTGGGAAGTTTTCTGATGTTATTTCATTAAATACATTTTCTATGCCCTTAACTTTTATTTCCTCCCCATTGGGTATGCCAACGATATGACCATTTGACCTTTTAATGGTATCCTGAAGATTTGTATGCAGTTTTTGTTTTCACTTTTTTTTTGGTACTGGAAATCGAACTCAGGACCTGTGCTTGCCAGACAGGTGCTTGTGCCGCTGAGCTATATCCCTGTATGCAGTCATTCTTAGCTTTTAAGATTTCTGTCTGAACTTGATACTTCAGAAGTCCTGTCTTCAAGCTCCAGTATCCTTCCTTTTGGTTAATCTAGTCTATTGTTGAGGCTTTTAATTGAATTTTTATCTAGTTTAAAGAGCTCTTCATTTCTAAGATTTCTGATTTGTTCTTTTTAAAATTATCTATGATGACATTTTCGTTTATACCATGCATTGTCTTCCTGTATTCTCTTGAATCTCATTGAGCTTAAAAAAAATTCTTTGATTTTTGTTTTTGGTCTTTTGAGACAAGCCAGAGTTGAACTTGTTCTGTAGCCTGGGCTGACCTAGAACTTGGGATCCTTTTGCTTAGTACTGGAATTCCTGGAATGCACTGTGACATTGGCTTTCCTTTGGATTCTTTTTCTAACATTTATCCACTTTGGTATCTTTGGAATCTATTACTAGAAAGTTATGAACTTTAAGTGCATCATGAATTATATATATTTATACTATATATAAATATATAATTATTATATATATAAATGCTATTTTATGAGATAACCTTCTTAGTAAGCAGCTTTTCCCTACAGTTATGTCTTCTACAGATGTGTGTCTGCCACTCCATTTGTAGTGTGATATTGAATATATTTCCTGCCAAGTGCCTAGGTGTAATCTCCCTGTAGCGTTTTTGTCCAGGATGCATGACTGTATCAGAGCTGGATAGACTCATTGCCTCTGTAGATTGCACAAGAGTGGGGCTCCCCTGGCGTTTCAGGCGGGTGTGGCAGATGGCAGTGTGTGGCTGCTCCTGTAGTGGGAGCCATAGCCTCTCTCGGGCTGCGTGGGTTTCCCCAGGCATGCGTGGTGGGGCTCTGGTGCTTGACTGGGTCTCTGGTAGAGGCTGTTGTGATGAGACTCTGGGTCTCAGAGATGAGGATCTGCAGAGCTTTTGGACCCCTAGTGCCGCTCTGTAGATTCCAAGCTGCTAACCTCTGGAGGCTGCGAGCCTGAAAGGACTTGGATTTTCCAGTAGCTGGGATTTCAGCATCTGTGCTGCAAGCATTTCGGGGCATTCCCTCACCTCTACACCCGCACGGGGGAGACTCTCCCCCACCAGCTGCGGAGCCAAGAGCCACTGATGGGGTATTTTGTTTCTCATTCTAAGTTGCTTTCCAAATACCTGGATTTTATGAGGTTTCTATTTCTCTAATTGACTTCAGTGTTCTACCAGTCACCTCAATATGCAGCTACACACCTGTTGCTTTGGTTTTTCTTTGCATGCATTTATCTTCTGAGTGTCTCTAGTTTATACCAGAAAAGCCCACCAAAATTTCTACCCTACTTGCAAACACTTGCAGTCAGTCACACTAGCAAACCTGTCCTTCCCACCCTAACTGGGCAGGTGCTCAGAGAATGCCGTGTGTGTGTGTGTGTGTGTGTGTGTGTCTGTGTGTGTGTGCGTCTGTGTCTGGGGTGGGACCAGAAGCTGTGGGCAGTCCAGGGTCTTGCAGTGCACTCACCAGTCCACTGCTGTGGCCCACGATGGTTTCCCACAGCGAGTCGTCGAGCAAGACTTTCTTGTCTTGAACATCCATGAGCTGGCTGACGCTGCGGTGCAGGGAGCCCTGGGAATAGGTCCGGCTGATCTGGCTTTGACTGGGGATCCTCAGGACAGACACACTCCGGTTGCTCCGCATACTCATGGGTGTCCCTGACCGAGGGATTTTGGTATCGGCTAATCCCTAAAAACAAAGTGACTGTTCGTGATTAATGGGAGGAAAACTGCCTTGGACTGTTTCACATACTCTCCGAAGACAGAGAGTGTCTGCCCCACCCATGGCTGTCAGCCCCTAGCCCCCCGTGGGGCCTGGCTTCTGGGTGACTGTGTCAGGCAGCCAGTGCTCTTGGTATCTCCTGTGCTGGTGCTCTCGCCTCTGTTCTGAGGGACAAAGTGGGTGTATGGCAAACGAGAAGGGTGCATGCGTATCCACACCAAGCTGCCCCTGGAGAACACGCTTACCCACGGCAAAGACCAGTGGTCTCTTGTGGTTGCCCCTGGGAGAGCGCTGCTTGGAGCTCATTTGAGGTGTCCTGGATTAGCACAGGAAAACTAATTCCTCCCCCCACCTTCTCTTCTCATTCAGTGTTGTTCCAGGTGTTCCAGGGTTCTAACTTCCCAAGTCTGGTCTCATTCCAATATTAACATCAGCATGACAAAGCCAGACTAAGGTTTCGAATGGGTTGGAAGATAAGCCTAGCTGCTCTAAACTGTGGGGGCCTGATGGAACTGGTCCAATCAAAAAAGGATTCGTGCATCTCAGTGGGTGATCAGCACACCATGCAAAAGACCATGCATCCATGCAGCACGCAGAGTACCTCAAAGTGCATGGTGTAACTTTTTAGGGTAACGTTGCTGGACACATCAGATATATCAGCCACAGAGTCAAACTGAGGAAAAATGGGGTCATCAGTGCTTGCGTAAAACTGTTTTAAGTAGATTCTTTGTGTCTCTCCAACCAGAGCAAGATCGTTCACCCACATACACACAAACACACACTTGGGTTTTCCAATTCAAACCATAATTTTGTATGTATGTATATACAGGATAGATAACATGGTTGTTCTTCTATCTGCTGTTTCTATGCTGAAAGAAGCATAGAGTGAGTGGAGATTCATTGCATAGTGTCCAAAGTTATGGCATTATTGCTTTAGTTTTGCAGCATATCAAAGGATCCTAAACCAGGTGTTATGCTATGCATAAAATCCACACAGGAGCTTAGCTGTACTGTGTGCCATGTGACCTAGGAAAGTGTAAATAAAATGTAAAGAGCTCTCAGTCTCTGCACCTGTGCCTGAGTCTGTTCAGAGCGGAGAGAAGCCCTTTGCCAGTGAGTCCAGCGTCCAAAGGCTCCTTCAGCCCGTCACAGCGTGGGGTGTGTGGGAGAGGCCAGTGGCACCGGAAAGCCAGCAGTGGGCTGAGGGAGGGGTGTTCACACTTCACAGCAGGTGTGGGCACGTGGTGTGGGGCACACCTCCACCCACCCAGATGTGAGTATGCACATCCAGCTTCTTTCTGCTCAGAGCCCCCACCCAGCCTTGAGCAGACGAGGAGCCTGCGGTCACCGACGACTCTGCGCGCTCCTAACGCAAGCTTTGTTCTCCTGTTCGGCTTTAGTTAAGCACATTTTGGCTTAAAAGTGATTTTGAAGAGTGAGAGACGATACACCGTGCACACTGCCAACTGGAGAGGATTAAAGTGAGTAAGCAGGTTCCGGGTGCACTGGTGTGTTCACACCAGCTAACCTTTTGGAGTCGTGCGGAGCATAAGCCTGGTCTCTGGCCACAGCCCCAGGTGGCCAGCGGCCTCCCCCTACACCCCACACTGGCTCCCCGGAAATACAAGCCTAACAGGGAGCCTGCCTGCCTCTCCTGGACGCTGACACCGGAACAGGACACTCAGTCTTTCCGCCACGGTCTGGTGGGCAGGGCCTTCACCCAGCCTTGACTTCAGCCTGACCTATCCTGGGAGCAGGTGGTCTGGAGCTTTGAGGTTCACCCTCAGTGGCATGGGCTGTCAAACCCGGGGACAGACTGAGCACTTTATCACCTCCCTTCCCCTCTCCTCTCTCCTCTCTCCTCGTATTTTTGAGACAATGTCTCGCTATATAGTTCAGGCCGGAATTAAATCCACTGTGTGGCCCAGGCTGGCCTTGAACTCTTAGGGATCCTCCTGCCTCAGCCTCCCATGTGCTGGAACTATAGGTGTGCACCACCATGTCCGGCACCCTCTTCCACTTTTATTTCCGGTCCTCCCAATTTCACAGCCATATCTCCTCTAAATTTCCAGGTGATTTCAACACACAGCTCTTCTCCTCATCCTCATTAACAGTTTCAGGGCAGAAACACGCATGCCTGGTTATTTACGCATTAAAATCACTTTGGGAATAAAAAATCACTAACCCTTAGGCCTTACCAAATATCAGTGAATCATCAAATTTTCCAAGATGGGGTCAGTGGTAATGGTTTTTGGTTTGGGGCTCAGGGCTTCAACCCAAGGCTGAGGGCTAAGCGCATGCTCTATCAGTGAGCTACACCCCAATCAATGTGTTTTTTTAAGGCTCCCCAGGTGGAAGCTGCTGTGGAAGTTGAGGTTGTGCTAGGGTGAGACCCCAGGTCCTCAGATCTAGTGAAACAGCTGTCTTCTAGCTCCTTGTTCCTAAGACCACAAAACATCTGCCCCCAGACGAAAAGCCAGGCCCATAGTGAGGACCACCCCTTTCGGTACGTACCACTGGGGTTTCCCCCGAAGGGTAGACATTCAAAGGCGACATCCTCTTCTGAAGGGGTACCAGGGGGGGTCTCTCCCGGATATATGGCTCCTTGTGGATTTTTCTTTGTAGTATCAGGGACAGAAAAATGGCCAATAAGATCAAGCCCAGCATTGCCATTAACACGATGAACCACAGCTCACTGTAGAACTCTCGGCTTTTACCCCCCGAGCCCCTCTTTCCGCCAGGAGTCGTTAGCACCAGACCTGCACAGGGCAGAGAAAGGAAAGGGGGGCGTTACCCGAGATGGCAGTGTTGTCCTCTCGTGTCCTGCGTTAGTAAATCAGAAGGGAGCTGAAAGCTGTGTTCCCACTTGCATGCAGGCTGGGGCACTGGCGGAGGGTCCCACTGGGGTGTCACAGCGGCTAACAGCCCCAGCTGACAGCCCTGGTGCCGCTGTTTGGTTTGGAATTCATACTGCCTTCCCCAGGCCTGGGAAAGATGGCTGGGGAAGCAGTTTTCAAAAGTAAACCTCAGGCAGCCTTGGGGACCTCTTATTTCACAGCTGTATACCCTAGGAGCCAAGTCCTTTGCTAAGCCGGGGTCACGGCTGCAGAGTGATCCACGCCTAAGGTCCCCACACTCATCAACAGCCCCTTCATAGAAGGCCTGTGCATGCTCATTTCTGAGACATCAGATCCCGTTTTCCACGGGGAAGCCGGTGGCCTGTGCTTATTAACGTGTTGTCCTCGCAGGTCTCGGCCCATGGCCTCTCTGTTGCACAGTGAGAGCTCTGCAAACCATCGCTCAAGTGCACTGGGGGAGCTTCCTGTGGAAATACATCTTTCGGCAGTGGGACCACCTACCCTTGATCTCTGTTCATGTTTGAAAATCTGTGGGATTCTCTGCACATAAAACAAGTGTTTACCCTGAGCCAGGTCCTACACTGAGGGCGTCCCAGGGACTCAGGAGGGACAGCAGCGGGGCGCTCGAGCCTTCTGCATGGGACCCTGCGTTACGTTTTGACCCGCAAAGCTTCATGTTTCAGAGGCAGGGCTGTGGGGAGGTGGTTGGCTCATGGGTACCCTGTGCTGGCTCATGGGGCGTGACCCCAAAAGTATCTCCTTCCCCTGCACCTCCCTTTTCCCTTTGCTTCCCGGTCACCATGGTGTGAGCAGTTCTCCCCGCCAGACCCTCCCACCACGCTACCAGACCGTGGCTTGTAAATGTGAGACGAAAAAACCCTCTGTGTGTTAGTTGTGAGAAACTGACTAAGACAGGGCAAACTGGAAGAACTGGAGCTGAACTGGGGCCACTGCAGGACAACATAAGGCGGGCAACAGCAGGGGACCCACAGAGGTCCCCAGCCACCTGGCTCCTTGCTGGGTCCAGCTCAGAAGCCTGGGCATCTGATGCAGCCGCCACTTGGGCTGGCGTGAGACCAAGCCAGAGAAGGAAGGCAGCCCTCGAAGGCGATGGACAAACAGATGCAGGTGCAACGCCTGCTCACTCTGTGCAAACGTCCCCGTGGTGAGCACCCCAAGGACTTTGGTGGGACTGTGAGGGCCTCACACTCACATGCCCAGGGGCGGGTGGAGAGCTCGAAATCGGGAAAGTATCAAAGGGAGAAAGTGGAGATGGCTGAAACGAGACTTTGAGCTCCACGCTAGGGTGAGGGATGCCTCTTTGCTAACCCTGATTCTATTTCTGGCCCCTTGGGTGGTTGGAGAAGTCACTCTGGCTCCTTGGGCCTCTGCTTCCTCCTCTCTGGAACGAAGATCTGGTGCCACAGATGGGCTCAAGCTCCGCAGGAAGGAAATTCTCTTAGTAGGAACCAAGGTACCGACGTGTGTTGATTGACTAAAAGCGGAGCCACCCTGGTTACACCAGAGAGGAGCGGAGTGTCTTCTGGGTGCGGCCAGGCTGGGACTCTGGGAACTGATCTGAGGGATCAGGGGCCCTGGCTGGGAGCCCACAGGCATGGAGGGCAGCGCGCCTGAGGGAAGCCTCAGAGGGGAAGCGGCCCTCTAACAGTCAGGGAAACGAGGTCCCTGCCTCGGTCCTGCTCGGAGGCGGCCCCCAGGCAAAGGAGCAGGAATGTTTCAGGAGTTGTATCGTAAAAATTAAAGCTGACGCGGATAGCAGTTGGGCAGCCCCTCTTGGAATGGGCACGGAGCTCAGCCTCCAGACACGAGGGCCACCGCTTGCTCCGCGGGGAAACCGCTGGTGCTCAGGAGCAGACCGCAGCCTTCTCCTCTTAGCTCAGAATCAGGATGCCGTCTCTGTATCCCTCCCCCTTTTTCTTTGCCAAGTACCCTTTCGCTCTAAAGGGTGCATCGAGGCATCAAATGGGACATTGGTGCTTGGGATAGAACTCCAGGGCTGGGACTCAGCTCCAAAGGAAACCCCGCCCACAGGGGTCACGGGGTGTCTCATTGGCCACGTGGTCACGGGCCCCTGCCTCAGAACCACTGCGCAGGACTCACTGGAGGAGCAGTTCTCTGAATCCCTGTGTCCTCAGACCCCGCTGTCCACTTTGGGAAACACTGGAATGCTAAGAGATTGCCAGTGCAGTCTCTTCTATCTCGCAGCCGCTGCTGAATAAGAGGAGCTCAACTGCATGGAAGAAAAGCGTCAGGCACTGCAGGGAACTTTGCGGGGTGCCCGGACATGGAAAGTCTGGAGGCAGAGCTATGCTTTACAGATTGAACCCATTTTTGAGAGCTACATTATCTCACCCATTTTTCAGCATTTGAGACGTATTTATTTTTCAAAAAAATATATATGCCTGCTAATTTGCTATAACATTAATAACATAGGGTACGAGTCCCAAATCTGTTCTAATGGGAGAAATCTGCCATTATTCTAACTTGCCCTTTGAAATTATAAAATGCAGGTTATGGCTAGAACTAAATTTAAAAGATGATCCTTAATTTGTAATTTCATCTTTTCAGCTAAATTACTTGGGATTAATAGTAAGTCATAATATTTCATAAAGGGTAGACACTTTTCCCAAATTCGCCATGTTAGTCTCTGAATCTAGAATGTTATTAGGGTCAATATGAACTGGCAGAACATTTTCTCCCTTCCTCTCATCTCCTTCCTCTGACTTCATTTATAAATCACTTTTTGTATACACCAAGTTTTTAAAACAGGACTTACGGGCAGGAGAGAAGTTTGGTCAGATCTCTGGAGCCTTTTCCACTTTTAAAAGTCAATGGCTTGCCATTACCAAAGCACATCCTAACTCCTTTCTTAATGTAAGTTCTGTGAAGGCTTTAAAAAAAAGCTTGTAACACTTAACACAATTCCTTCCATAAAGTCAACACAACTGTCTGAGCACGAGCGTGTGTAAACACACACAGGCAAGTTTCTTGAGGAAAATGAGAAGATGCTACAACAAGTATGACTTAACACCAGGCCTGGTGGCATATGCCTACTATCGCAGCACTTGTGAGGCTCAGGCAGGAGGATTGCTGTGAGTTCAAGGCAACAACTGTCTCAGAAAAAAACAAAGAATAAGCTAAATGCATACCAAATCCAGTAGAGGTGTCATATTGGATCAGTGGTGTCTTAACACTTCCTACATCTGTGGTGCAGGTTACCTGGAAAAAGAAGGCTAGACAAAAGAGAGAATTGGTAAATGGCTCACTCAGCATCAAAAAATAGAGGGCCTAGTTTTAAGAGAACAATATGTCATACATTCTATGAAAATCTGAAAATAGCATTTCAGAGCAAATTGTAAGGTTTTACCTAATGCCACAGTTTGGAGGTTAAATATCCCCCAAAGGAGTAGAGTGGTGTTGTTGGGAGACAGTGGTACCTTTAAAAGGTGAAACCTAATGGTAGGACTTTAGGTCACTGGGGGTGTGTCTTTGGAGGCAGAATAAACCTTTCCATTTGAGAAGTTGATTATTTCAGATAGTTGTCACAGTGACTGAAAGCTAACACCTAACATTTAAGCTTATTTCTAATGAAAAAGACATAAGAACATATCCATAAGAAATAGAGCTAAAGAATATTAGAGCTTATATAGCAAAAGAAGAATTTTCAGAGCAGAAAAAGATAAAAGGCAACATATATTTTATTCTGCATATAGTCCAAATCTGTTCCTTTAAAACCATCAGGTATGCCTTCCACTAAGTGGCCCAGAATTTTTTTTTCTTAACAAGAGAACTCAAAAGGAATATTAGAAATTGCATGATCTAAATTCCTTTTGCAAAAGCCAGGAGCTTACGATTGTCCCAAGGTCATATAGATGGTTAGAGCCTGGTCAGGTGGAACACAGATCTTCCAACTGTTAGGCCATCTTTCCATCACTGCCCACTGCATAGACAACCAGCAATGTAACTGTGAATGTGTACACCTGAATCACTGGGAAATGCTATCGTTCAGTTTCAAATGCTATAGAGGTAATACTGGAGCTTGCTGTTTACCTCTTTTAGACAAAGTAAATACTGTTTGCAAGTAAGCAGCAACAAAAATTGTACAATCCAGATGATTTAGCTTAGAATATTCCATATCTATTGGTCCTGGGGCCATGCTGATTACTAGAAATTCCTTAATGCCACCTAAAGCTTTTTCTCAGTTTAATTCGAAAGCCAAGACTTCGAATGGTGTGGTGGTGCATACCTGTAGTCCCAGCACCCTGGGGAGGCTGAGGTAGGAGGATCATAAGTTTGATCCCAGCCTGAGCAACTTAGTGACTTAATGAAACCCTGTCTCAAAATAAAAAAATAAAATAATGGGCTGGAGATACAGCTCAATGGGAAGGTACAGGTTCTTTCCCAGTATTGGAAAAAGGACAGAGAAAAAGGGCATGCAATTAAAGATGGGAAAATGTTCTTTCAGGGGCTGATACTGAAGTTGAATAAATCACTTAGTGCAGGCTCTTAAAGAGGCTAAAGTCCCAAAACTGTATTATTTTAGGAAATGCACTGACTACGTGAGGGCGCTACTTCTTTTATGAACTCAACCTGTCTTGTCCTTCCCAAGGACACTCAAGCCACAGGAGGCAGCACCCTTGTGGAAGTGCATCATCACCACAGTGCACCAGGCTGCAATGGGGAGGGAATCCCCACTGCCTCTGAGATGCACTTTTCCATGAGAAGCAGCCACTTAACACCAAGACCTTTGAACAGCGAGCACCCGCTTGTCCCCGTCCAGATTTAATATCCAGTCAAGCTGGGGAACAGCGATCCTTGTCCCCTGAGAAGTGGGAGGCAGAAACTAACTTTTGTGTGCTGTCCTTGGTATATGGAGGGTGGTGTCGAGACCGCTGTACACACGCTGTCCCCCGTCGGTCACCACGTACTCCTTGAGCCGGCCATTCAGGCGGAAGGTACTGCTCCAGTCCAGGCACACCATAGACACGTTGCTATCCACAGAAAATGGCACCTGGTACTGAGGCACTGCTGGAAGAAATGCACATGATCTAGAAATGCTCGTCTCACAGGGGTGCATAAGTGTGCTTCTATTTGGGGGCTAATATGAGCAAAAATAAAACAAAACAAAATACCAGCATCACTGGAACCCATAAAAGAACTGGTGTGGGGTCTGGAAAGAAAAGCAATAGGAACATGGGAAATGCTTTTTCAGCAACTTTGTACCTGCTTCCTAAATAAGAAAAATCAATAGCAAGTGGTGTTTTATAAAATAGCCATTAACACACAATGGATCCACTCACCAGTGTAACCCTAGAGCTCATATTTCGCTGCCTTTTCCTTCTTTTAACAGGTAAAGTGTCCTGAACACTGTTAACTATAGTAGATAGCTATTTTTCATATCAAATCAATATTTATTGCTACAAAGCCCCGAGGACTAGATGAAGTTAATATATTTTTTTCTCCAAACCAAACTGCTTAGATGGTGAATTATGTCCTTTTGCCAACCATTTATTTTTAAAGCTTTTTCTTGAGCCATGAGTTTGTTTTCCAAAATAGTTGAAAAGCCTTGCAAACAGTAATTCAAGTACAATAATTCATCGCCTTGACTAATCAATCAATAGCACAGTACATTAGTATATAATCAAGCTCAGGTCTAAGTATTATATCAGATACAGAAGCAGCTCTGCATTTTACAGGCGTGTTTGCATTTTTCAGCTCCTTACTAAAACAAGACAAAACAAAAATCTCTAACTGAGGCTCATCTTTGAATCAAATAATTTTTGTAGAAACAAAAGAGGGATACCATATCATCTGATCAAGTCAGAAGTGATTTATTTCATGAGATCTTGTTTTTTCCAAAGTAATCAATACCTTTGTAAAAGTGTAAGATCCATCTACATACTAAATTAGCTTTTAAGAAATGAAAGGAAGCAGTGAGAATAAATTGGATATCAGTTCTTTCTTTAAAACAATAAATCCATCTGGTAGGAAATATAACTGAGGAATATTGTGTTTTTGTAATCAAAAGATTAACCCTTTAAAACGTGTGGTTCTTACCTATCAGAATAAAATATTTTTATATAGTCATAAGGACAATTTTCTGTAAATACCAAAACAACAAAAGTTATCAACCCTTCTTTAAATTTCTGTAATTTTCCAACACTAATTCTGCCTAGTATCACACGAGAACACACTATTGTATTTGTTTGTGGCTTCCCTCTGTCATTTTAACCAACAGCTTTCCACTCTTCCTATGCCATAGCAGAACAAAAGAAAAAGCTTGCAAATGGTAAGAAAATACATAGAACCTTGACTTGCAGGATTTGTGGATCTCCCTGAGGGAAAAGAGCACACAATCAGAATAACCAAAAAGCATGGATTTATGCAACCTCTCCAGAGCAGACTGAGAAAATAATAAGAGCTGCTATGCTCTTAGCACATGACTAGTTGATTTCACTTACTCCTCAAGACAATCTGGTAAAGATTGGTTCTTAATTTTTCAGGTGAGGAAACAAAGGTTCCAAGAGACTAAATAGCCTGATGAATGTCAATTGGGTAAGAAAGCAAGGATAGGAACTCATATCTGCTCAGTGTTAAAGCCCACAGTGGTGGTTTGAGTGAAGTGTCAATTTGGTTGGCTTTGGGATCTGCCCCGGGAGTTGGTGGAGCACCTTGCTGGGTGTATCTGGGTGGGTCATGGAGGTATGAGCTTAGGGTCTATATCTGGCCAGGTACTTCCTCTTCTCTGGTGTTGTCCCTGTTGCTCTGCTTCCTGGTCACCATGAAATAAGCACTTTTGCTGCACCACACCCTTCTGCCATGGTACTCCTGCTTTGGAGCCAATTAACCATGGACCGAATCCTCTGAGACCATGAACCAAATTAAATGTCTCCTCCTTTGAGTTGTGGGTGTTTGGTATTGTGTCCTATAGATAGAAAAGCTAATACACTTACATTGCTTTGTCAGAGTCAGTACCTATGTATTTAAAGGATCCCAACTTACTAATTCACCACTGGGTACCCTCCAATTGTTTGCTGAAATTGTTTCATCCTGATTGTTAACTCCTGATTGTTAACTTTAAGAATTTTGTGAGATAGTTGTTAATCTCAGCCATTTTTAAACATTAAATGATATAAACTTGATGGTATTAAAGCAATAAAGACTCAGAGTTCATAACTTTTTTACTACTTCTTTACATGTTATTGTTATCTATGGACTCAAGGTTATTTTTTTCTGTACTGCCCTGTTGGTGATCGGAAACTTGTAATGGTGGGGTACTTACACCAGGGGAACTGGAAGGGGCTTCAAATGAGGATGCCTTTCCTCAGCAAGGCCAGGGTCGAACAGCCATACCTTTCCTCTGCTCTCCACTGGACGATAATTGGGGGACAGGGGCTGAAGTGCTCCTGCTTATCCAACCTCTCTGCTAAGTGTACATGTAATCGTATCACATATAAAACTACATGCACTGAGTTTAGACTATCTTTCTGTTTGTATTCTCTGACACACAGCTTCCTTCTATTGGCGTGTATGAGTCAAGAATCGCATAGGAGGTATGTGAACCACAACATTTCTTGACTGTTCCACGTCTGTCACTAGTGAATTAAGGAAACCTTTCTCTTTGGGTGTTGGTCTAGCCACTTCTCTAGTTAGGAGGAAAGGCACAATGGAAGGAAATCAGCAAAAATGAAAGTCTGTGAGAAGAAAAGAGAAAGATGTGGTTAAAATCTGCAGCTCTCACCTAGCTATTCTCTGGCCTTCTGGCCAAGACCCACAAGAAAGTGGAATAATTAGCAAAATTGCATTAGGTAGGTACTGTGAAGGAGATTATAAACTTAGACAGTAGACATTATTAAAGTCATCATAGTTTGCTTTTATTATGGCAGGGGTGAGAAGGAATCTGACTATTGCCAGCAATGAATATGAGAAGTTTAAAGTGCACATGCTCATGGGACTCTATTTTGGGGAGTGCATGATAGATCCAAGTGGTAAAGACCAGCATTGAGGAACTGGGGCTAGGGGAGGAGGGGCTTCAGAGGGAGAGCTGCAAGCTGTACCTGCAGATGTCATATTTAAGCTGCTCACCGGAAGTCCAGAGGGGCTGTGCCTGAAGAAGCTGGGTGTGGGGCTGCATTTCACAACAGAACCTGGGTGGGCTGTGGCCACTTTAGGGACCCTCCTTCATTTGGAGCTGAAATCTTGGAGTAGGTGACCCACTGAAGGAGCAGAGAGGAAGGAATAAAGGAAGGAAGGAAAGAAGGGAAGGAGGGAGGGAAGGAGGGAAAACTAGGAAAAGGGAAGGAGGTGAAAGGCAGGGGTGTAAGTGTAGAACTGACACTTGAGAATCGTGATTAGCAGCAGCTCAACCAAGAAAGGTAACTAAGGATGAATATCCAGAGGGGTGGGCAGGAAACGAAGAGAGGCTTGTTAGGAAGACTACGGGAAAACACGTTTTATAAAAAGAACTGAAGGTTCAATGGCACCGAATGCTCCTTTAGAAGTCAATGAATGTGAACACTGGAGAGACATGTTTGCTGGATCTATCGATATGGAGGCTAAGGGTGAACTCAGAAAGGAATTTTTATCCAGTGATGAAGAAATCAAAGAGTAGTGGGCAGGGAGAGCATGGGTGGGGATAGCACATTCTCTAGGAAAGGTCAACTGCGAAAAGTAGAGAGAGGGCACCAGGCTGATTGCTTTAGCACTGGCGAGGGAAGCAACTTGGAGTCTAAAGGGATCCACTGAATATGAGGGGGAGTTGGGATGATCAGTAGGGGAGGGAGGTGGTCCTCAAGAGGAAAGTCAGGCTTGTCTTGGACAGCAGCCAGGACCAGTGCTAACTTAGCACGGGCGGGAGTGGTGCAGATACAAGTAGGTTTGCCTGTCTGGGAGGGGAGGGAAGGAAATGGTAACTCAAGACTGCTCTTCCTGGGGAGTCAGGAGGCGAGGGCTTTGCAAGGGCTGAGGGAGGAGGGCGAGCCTGCCGTGGGGAGGGTCTGACATCTCTAGTCCAGTTGAGCAGGCCAGCATGGTAGTGCTGAAGGTGCAGCTGAGCTTAGTGATGCTGAGAGGAGGGTGGAACTTCTACTTAGGAGATAAGGAAAGTGGTCATAGCAAAGAAATCAGACTTTCAGATAAAGGTTGGTCTTCTCACATTGATTAAAGATAAATACTAAAAAGAACCAAAGTGTCTGGCTGATTCATATATGGAATATTAGACAGCCACTGTACTTGATGATGACTGAGCTTTTTAATATTGTGGAAGATGCAAGTAAAATAATGTGAGGAAGAAAAAGCAGATTGTGACATGTTTGATTACTTGAGATCCAGCTTCAGCTGGGGGCCACCTCAGTATGAAGGTCCAAGTGCCTGACCAATTCATATATGGAATACTATACAGCTGTCATACTTGATGGTTAAAGAGTTTTTAATGCTATGGAAAATGCAAATATAATGTCACATTCAAAGGCAGATTATGAAATTTTTTATTATAGTGTGATCTCAACCAGGTAATAAATGTATGTAAAGAAAAGGGCTTAAAAGACCTGATTATGCCAACCTGTTACACCAGTTGCTTTGGAGCAGTGGGATTTAGGAGGATTTACTTTGTGCTCAAGTGACCCCTCACACGGAAGGGCTCTGGGCTTAGTTTGCTACTGTTGCTGCCTTGGAATTCCTAATGATTTTGTGCAAGAAACTCCATATTTTTATTTTCTAGTGGTCTCCACAAATTATGTAACTGGGCTCAGAAGAACTTATTTTATCTTAGTACTTTATATATTTACCATTGTGTACAATGGACACACATACTTCATACAATCTGTAGTTATTTTTTTAAAAAAATCATTAGTTCATTAAAAATTAATTAGTTGACTGCTGGTTTCTGTATTTAATTGCCCTTTTGTTTTTCCTCATAGTACCATGCCCTGATGCTTTCTGCAAATGCTAGGGATGATGTCATATAATTTAAAAAGAAAGAGTGGCAAAACGTTTAAAAAAATAGGCAAACACTTTCCCTTTTTTTAAAAATTTGTTATTTCACTTCCGCTAAACTAGTTTTCAACAAATCAACAGAATTCTTAAATTTACCCTTCACCTCCCCATTGTTAGACCCTGTGGACATTTTTGCCCAACTCATTTTCATCAAAGTCTTGTTTTGGTTTTTTTTTTTTTGGTTTTTTTTTTTTTGGTTTTTCTCCAGTACCGGGAACTGAACTCACGACCTTGCGCTTGCCAGGCAGGCGCTTTTGCCACTGAGCTAAATCCCCAGCCCCTTCATCAAAGTCTTGATAGAGCATTTCACATCACTGATACTCTATCATAAATTTCTTGTAAATATTGGCTTCCCCTAGTTTTTACGGCAAGCTTCTGCTGGCTGCTTTCCTTTGTCTTTGGCTGAATTGTTCAGCTTTCCTAATGCTGGGAAAAAAAAAAAAATACGTGTCACCCACGACTTAAAGTTGGAGAGGTGTATCTGGCTTCTGGTTTTAGATGTCTCAGTCCATGGCTGGCTTCAAGGCAAGACATCATGCGGGGCGGTTGGCAGAGGAGCCCTGCTCACCTCATGGGGGCTGGAAACAGCGCAGAAAGGAAGGAACCGGATGTAGACCCCAAGGCCAGACCCCGTGACCACCCAGACACCGGAAGTGCGCTTTCCTAATCCCCCAGGGGGCTCCCAAGCCAATCGTCTTGACGGGAAGTTTGGCGGCCACACCGGCTCGTGCTGGCGGCCCCTGGTACTCACGTTCCTTGCGAGTGGTGAAGCGGACCCACTCGGAAGCCCCGCGGCCTGCCTCGTTGTGCGCCACCACCCTCAGCCGGTAGGCGGTGAAAGGCTGGAGGCCCGCGAGGCTGGCTCTGAGCCCAGGTCCACGGTACTTGGTCTCTGCTTGGCTGGGCGCACAGGCCGGGGCTGCGTCTGGAGGACAAGCCACGGAGAGCTGGAGCTCGAAGCTGGAACGAGAGCGGGAGGGAGGGAGAAGACGGCGATGCAATCAGCTTAGCCCCCTTTCAAACCTGCTTGTGTTCTGCAGAGACGCATTCTGTTTTCACGGAACTGCAAGCTCTGTCAGGTCTGCGTCTTTAGGAAACTGCTCTCGGAGGTGCTGTAGGGAGACTGAGGTGACCCGGAAACGTCAAGGGAGGCACCGTCCACGCACTCGTGGCCATCGCCCTGTGGCTGGTTGCTTTGGTTGCTTGAGGTACTTGTCGTTTTACAAAGAAGGTGGTAAAATGTTCTCCTTTGTTTAGAATAAGGAAACACATTTTCCTCCAGATTCTTTTGAGGAAAGTAACTGCTGCTTCAAACAGAAATTCATTAGGGCGTCTTATAATATATGGGGCAGTTCTGATCGGACCACAAAGGTGTCTTATGCACCACGAAAGCCTATGGCACGGGTCACTTCAGAGACCCACGTGGAGGAGCAGAGTCCCTCACTCAGTCATCTGTCTGGTGCTGAAGCCGCCCCAACCCAGAGCAGTGCACCGTTTGGGTGAATACAGACACTTCCCGTTTTCTTTCTTAAGTGCAGATAACTTCGTTGTGCACCTTTCCATCCTTAATGGACTTAGGGTGTGAACGCTGCGCAGGACATTAGTATTTGGATTAAGACTCGTGTCTCTGATGAGCCCGCCCTCCCCAGACAGGGCTGGTGGCCCCGTGTCTGCATGCAGGTTGCCTTGGGTCTATTCCCCGTTCCCGCTGAGCTACTACCTTTGAAGGACACCATTGGGAAACAAGGGGGGCCCCCACTGGAAGGAGGCTGTCCTGGAGCCCAGCTGCTGGACGCGGGGAGAGGCCGGGCTGGAGGGTGGAGCAGGACGCGTCCTCAGCTCGGCCGTGGGCCCGCGGCTGCAGCAGTTGAAGCAGGTGCAGGCCTCCACTCCGACCGAGTACGTGGTGAAGGGACGCAGGTCGTGAAGAGTCTGCTGGGCCGCCGTGCCTTCCGACAGCTGGGAGGGAAGGGAGAGGGGAGTCACAGCCGGCCGGCAGGTGTTTAGGAGGCCCTGCTTCCTACAGATGGAGCCCACTGCAACCAGGCACGGCCCGGCATTCAGCCGCCAGGCATCACTGGTGCTGTCACACAGGCGGAAATGTTTAAGGATATGACAGTTAAACCGGACTTCCGGGCCATCGCTCGGATTCCAGGAGGCACCATACTGTCCGTTATCTACCGCCTTAGAGAGGAATTCCAAAGTGGCACAGAGCACATACAAAATGCTGACCACAGTTCATGAGCCGCAGAATGACACCTTTTCTAAAAACAGCCACACTCCGCTGTATGTTTCCAGTCACTGACGTGCATGTTCTGCATGGTAACTGGCATGGAGTCATCCGCTTGCATCTGTGTTACAGTCAGAGCGAGATGGCAGAGATCTTGAAAGTCCATCTCTTCCTCTGAGGGCACTGGCTTTTACAAAATATCACAGTCTTTCCTCAGTCACTTTTTTGTGTTTTTTTTGCTTTGGTTTTTTGAGATAGAGTCTTACTATGGAGAGCGGCCTGGCTTCAAATTTACAGCAACCCTCCTGCCTCAGCATCCCAAGGGCTGGGAATACAGGCATGTATCACCATATCTGGCTTCTGAGTTATCTTTGTAGGATGATAAATTTTTCAGTTTACTTGGAACAAATTCTTTTTTACCACACTGTGGTTTAATTTAGTACTCTTTGGAAAGGAAGAGCTTAGAAACTGTAAATTAATTCTCACATTGACATAATATATGATTAGGAAAAGTTCTTGAAAATGCATACAATGCACTCCAAATATAAATTATTTTAGTTTATTGGTATTATCATCTTATAAGCATGGATAATCAACGGTTGATTGTATTTACATCATCTATATTTACGGAATACAAAGCCCTGTGGAAATATGCTAATTTTCCTTTAACATTCACTGGGAGCCCTTATCGGATGTGAGTTATCTTTTGAAGGTGTGTTTAAATACCTGGCACTGTGGCCTCAGGGGCTTCCTCCACACGTGCCCAAACTGTTCCCTAAACTGGTCTAAATAAGTATAATGTAATAGCAGGAGCTGCGCAGTCTCTCTGTGAGGTTTGTGAGGACAAAGCATTCTCATCTCCACCGGTTCATGAGCCCGTCAGAGCGGCCCAGGCACACGCGGGTGGGAGAGACCCCTCTTACACCCCAGGCCCTCCCATTCAGTCATGGAAATGACCCAGCTTTAGCTCAGAGTGGGAGACAACTTCCCTGGACATCTGCCCCATCTCCCAGTGTGCCCAGAATGTGCTAATAAACAGTGGAGCTAGAGATGCACAGTTCTGCTGTCTCATGGAAGAGGCCAGGCCTTTCTGGAATTCACCACAAGAAAGAGCCAGTTTCCATTATGTGCTTAGAGGTCTATGTCAAAAAGGGGACCTTAGGGGGCTAGAGGTGTGGCTCAGTGGTAGAGCTCTTGCCCAGCATGTGTGAGGCACTGGGTTCGGTCCTTAGGAGCACGAAAGAAAGGGGCAGGGGGTACACAGGAAGCTGAGGCAGGAGGATCTCAAATTGGAAGCCAGCCGGAGCAATTTGGTGAGGCTGTCTCAAAATTAAAAATAAAAAAGCCTAAGGTGTATTTCAGCTCTAGAGGGCTTGCCTAGCATGTGTGGAGCCCTGGATTCCATCTCAACCACCGCAACATGAAAACAAATAGTGTACTTAGTTTGTATCTGTTTTGTAAGAGCTCACTCTTTTTTCTGTGAAGGACCCTGGTGCTACTTGTTCACTAGAGGGGGCAGGGGAGGAGAGAGGACAAGCACTCCGTCCCAGCTCCAGCACCAGGACCTGTGCTTACCACGACCAGGGTGCCGCTGGTATTGGAGAACAGCCGGTAGAGGCTGATGTTCCCGTTGGGCTTCGCGGGGACACTGATGTTGAGCACTGCTTGAGTGGAGGACACAGTGTGGACAGTGGGGGCGCTGAGGCCTTCTGGGGGTGCAGGCCAGGTTCTACACCATGCCCAGCTGCTAGCGGCTTTTCCTGCTGAGTTCACCGCCCAGACCTGGGGAGAGAGACTTGTGAGAACAGGCAAGAACAGCACCCCTCAGCTGGACAAACAGATCCGCACCCCGAAGCCACTAAAGCCAGTGGTGTAAGATGAACTGAGATTTTGGCAGCTTGCAAAAAGGACCCTGGGAACACAGAGGGGGATGGTTAGGACTCCAGGGTTTGCAGAAGGTGGGTTTGAGCCTAGCTAAAGACCCTGGTTGATGGGCTGGGTGAAGTGCACTGATTTTCTCAACTCCCACAAACTGGATGGGGCTGCGGACTCCAGGAAGCTCAGCGATTCCCTTACTCTGTCCCCACCAAATCTGCATGGAAATTAAATTTCCTTTCATCAAGGAGGGAATAAACATATGGAAAGATATATAATCTTATTTATCAAGAACCATTTGTGTAATTAAACACGAATATCCTAAAAGGTTGGCCGAGGTCATCATTTGCATGGGTAAGTAATTTGTAGACTGTCAGGTACAATAGACAGAGTAGATGGATGTGTGAGTGGATAGGGTTAAATTAGGCCCAATAATAGCCAACTACACAGTGATCAATCAGAATGATAGATCTAAGTGGCAATGTGAGAAGACTGCGTGTGGAGCAGGAGGAGTATCCCTTAGTAAGCTTCCAGTACGTCTAGCTGTGGACGGTGTTTCCTTACTGGGTGTCTTCTCTAGGAATTTAAAAAACTTTATTCTGAGCTTTAGAAGACTACGCTGGAAAACTTGCTTGATTTCACAGGACATGCGTTGTGGCTATGCAGGACCATCACAGTCTGATACTTAGGAAAAAGTCTCATATTTAGGAAACACCGACTGAGGATACTTTGCAAAGCAGAGATTAGCGGTGTTTTGTTTGCTTTGCTTTTCTCTCAACAGGATCTTCAACAGAAAAAAAAGTCAGACAGACTTTTAGTAGTTAGGCCAACTCCTACTAGTGTTACTACACCATTTTTAGGAGAAGTCCCTTGTAAAAGCAAATCCCTAAGGCTGAATTACAGTGAAACACAAATGCGCACCCCCTTTCTCAAACCAGAGCTAGGAACCGTAGTTTTAAAAAAGACCACGCACTTACATCATCACACCTGCTCATTTAATAGTTCAGATACCTCCCATCACTGGCATCACAATCACTCCCAACATTATGAACTCCACACTTTACAAAGCACTTTACCCATGCTAGTCTACTTGGTCCTGCAGAATGCCCCATTAGCCCCGTTTATAGGTGAGAAAATTGAGGCTCAGAAAATTTCACTATCTTGCTCAGTGCTGAAGTTATGAAAGTAGAATTCTGCTTTCCAGTGCTCTTTTAAAAAAACCTGTGCTTTGCCTCTGCATGTCCTCCCACTGCATTAATAAGACACTCAGGCTCACAGAAATTAAATGACCTGCCCACGGATGAATAGTTGCAATCCTGGATTAGGCAAGGTCTCTTGGACACCAAGGCCGGATGGCTGTGGTGAGTTATCTGGGGTGCAAAGGGAAGTGAGGAGCAGTTAACTGGCTTAGCAGTGGATGGCAGGGCTTCCTGGAAGCTGGATCCAGGTCAGAACAGGAGCACAGATGCTCTGTGCTCTATAAAATGGTCAGGGCCAGTCATACCTAGGGAGGGGACGTAGAGAAAGCTACCGAAGAAATCAGATTTCAGGACTGATGCACACGGGTCCCAGATTCCTCAGGCTGCTTCAGAACAACCTCTTTGCCTGCGAACACCTTTCCAGTGGGTAGGATGGGCGCCTTTCACTACACAATGAGTGACAAGATTCGAAAAGACAATATTCTTGGAAATAGAACTCATGATAAAATGCAAGTATCACTATCAAATTCCTCCCCAAGAGCAGAGCTTGGGTTGATGATTTAAGAGCACATAGAATTTTTTTTTTTTTTTGAGAGAACAGAATTTTAACTGGGGTCATCCAGATGGTGAAGAAAATGGCAAGTATAACTAGGGATAATTCTTTTAAAAAAATCCTGTGAGTTGCCAGCTGGTGATTGAGCACCGATAGGAGACAGCAGAGGTGCAGGCACGGGGTGTGCAAAGAAAAGGAAGGAAAATGCGTGTGAGTCACGGGCAGGGCTCAGCACAGTTTTGGCTAAGGATTGTGAGCTTTAACTTCTTGTTCATTTTCATTACATCTACGATGCAGTTATAAAGAGTAGTACGGCTTTTTAATGCTGGTGTTGGAGACAAGTCTTAATGCTCATGCTTCTCTTTGTTGTATGCGCTTTTATAGGTGGAGTGCTATTTTCAAAATGTGATTTGATCCATTGTATTGTAAGACACTTAGGGCTCGGTGTTATAGTGTTCTGCTGTATTTCTCATATTCTTTTCTAAAAATGAGGCAGTGCAAAACTCCCCATCACTGGCTGGGAAGCTATATAGGACCCGGTGTCTTTTGTCTTTGACAGGAGACCTTGACAACACATTGCTCTTTTTCCTAGACTTTCTTTTTAGTATTCAATCAATTTGAGATCAAAATAGCATTCATATAAATCAACCTGCTTATGCAAAGCAGGATCAGCCTATTTACATGAGCTACTGTCAAAATGAAAACACTAATAAAGCAGAGAGAGCTGACTGAGATCATGAAGCGCTGTGGCCTGCACAGAATGTGCACCCTGGACAGTGTCTCTGCTGTACCCAAACACCAGAAGACAAGAAAAAGAATCCTCTTAAAAATAAAAAGTCTGTGACTTAGAAATCGCTGTGCATTTTTGTGTGTGCCCAGCTGTGCAAGAGATGAGGGGACTGAGATGCAGTTCAGATGTAGTTCAGAATAAAAATATATATTATGCCTGTGATTTCACTACAGGGAGATTTGGAGACATCTTCATAGGGTGGAGAAAGAAGAAGCAATAATCTTGCATGGGAAATTTTGAGCAATATGTCCTGATTTGTACACTGATTGACTGCGGGCTGGGCATCAAGTCCAGATCTCAGCCATGCTAGGAAGTGCTCCGCTGGGGTTCACACCCAGCCCTTGGTCTCTTAAGGTTAATCAAAAAGAAGAAAATCCAGAAATGAAATGCCTCCCAGGCAGACATAGAGTTGCCGTCTGTGTCTGCCTTTGTCTTCTTCCTCTGCCTGTCTATGGGGCTCGGAGCGCCATCCCCTGACCTAGGGGACTCCCCTGTGAGCCGAGTCCGAGGAACCAAAGGGCACTAGGCACTTCCCAACTCCTCCCGTCCTCCACCTGCTCTCCTCAGTCTCCCTCAAGTTCAGCCGTAGAAGCCAGAATTCTGCTCCCCGCTAAACAAGTCAGAAAACCTTAGAAAAGTCCCTTTCTCCCTTCCCTCTCATTCCAGGGCCGCCTTCTGCATACTGGGAGCAAGCATGGCTACACAGAGAGGCCAAGGAGAGTCCAAACAGAAGGGCCTTGCTGGGTCCCCTTTCCAGCTCGTTACCGTGGGCCATCTTGTCACCTCTCAACGTGCTGCCCTCTCTTCACTGAAACTAAGCATGAAACAGTTTCTCCTTCATCTTTGAGTCTTTATTTCTGAAGGCTTCCATGTCACATAAAACTTTGATTAAAGATATTTTTATGGTTTTCCTCTTGTTAATCTTTCATTACAGGAGTGTGGGCTCTGACCCTTGTGATGGGTGAGGAATGGTGTCACATTTTCTTATCCCTACATATCTATCCATCTGTCCATCTGTCCACCCACCCACCCATCCACCCATCCATCCACCCATCCACCCATCCATCCACCCACCCATCCATCCACCCACCCATCCATCCACCCATCCACCCATCCATCCACCCATCCACCCATCCATCCATCCACCCACCCATCCATCCACCCACCCAT